GGGGCTCAATCCTCGGACTCCAGGATCATGACCTGAGCCGAAGGCAGACGCTTAACCGACTGAGCCACCCAGGCGCCCCTTTGCACTGCAATTCTTACACCAACTATCTGGAATATATGCAGAATTCATAGGTTAAGGGCATAGCTTCCCACAGAACAGCCCTCACTTCAGACATTAGTCACAAGTTTGGGGATTCCCCCATCACCCACACTTCTGACCAGCTGGCTACAAATTCAGGGGTTCCCACGACACTGTCACGTTTGATAATGTACTAAAGAAACTCATGGGGGGCACCTGGGTGGCTCAGTCAGTTAAGTGTCTGCCTTCAGCTCGGGTCATGATCCCAGGGTCCTGGGATCGAGCCCTGCATTTTATTACTGAGGTATCATTGAACCATCGGCTAAAGTGACAGAAGTCAATCTGCAGCCCACTTCCTTCCTCAGAGGTCAGGCTGATATCATGTGGCTCTAAGCCCCAAGTCTCTAATGACATGGTTGTTTTTTCTGGTGTGAAGCCCCTTATCTCATTAGCATAAACGCAGGTGTGGTCCAAGGGGTTCACTATGAATACTGAACAGTCCTAGTTACTCAAGAAATTCCATGGATTTAGAGGTTATCCCTCAGGAACCAGGGACAAAAACTGGCCAAATTCCTTATTATATGACATTATTCTTAAAACGCTTCCGTTACCTTCAGGGTATATATCAACATGGCCTAGATGGCCCTGGTCATTTTCCAGCCTTCTTCATCAGTCTTACATTCCCCGTCACTCCCTGCCCAAAAGAAACACTGGGCGTAACAAAACTCCAGTAAAAACTTGGGGTGTAGAGGAGATGGTGAGCTTTCTGGTCAGTGATACGTATCAATATGCCACGATAGTGAAATGTCCTGAGGGCACAGATGCATTCATGTTAGAACCCTCTCAGCTCTGGGTCAGGACGCGGCGGGCCGCGGGGCCGAAGGTGGGGACCCGCGGGCTCCGGGCTGCTGTCCGCCGTCCGCCGCTCCGCTCCCGTCCGCCCGGCCGCAGGTCCCGGGTCCCCGTTCTCCGACCGCGGAGAGGCCCGCGCGGCGAACTCAGAAACAAAACCCAAGAAATGCCTCATTCCACAAACAAAGAACTGATACTTGGTATCATGGTCGGAACTACTGGAATCAGCTTGCTTCTTTTGTGGTACCACAAGGTTCGTAAATCAAGGACAACATTGAATTTACCTAACTTTCTTTCTCTGGGTAATAAGTTTGATTCTGTGACTTTTCAAGATGAAATGTGTAATGGCCAAGGAACAGCTGCAATCTTTCAAGGAAGGCAGCTTCAGATATTGGAGAAGTTAAACGAATTACTGACAAATATGGAAGAACTCAAAGAGGAAATCAGAGTTCTTAAAGAAACGATTCCAAAGCTGGAGGAATATATACAAGGTGAACTTGGAGGGAGGAAAACTGTTCATAAGATAAGTCCTCAGCACAGAGCTAGAAAAAGAAGGCTTGCCACAGTTCAAAGTTCTGGAACAAGCAATAGTTCAGAGGAAGCAGAAAGTGAAGGAGGGTATATTACAGCTAATACTGACACAGAAGAACAGAGTTTTCCAGTCCCTAAGGCATTTAACACACATATAGAGGAATTAAATTTAGATGTCCTTCTTCAGAAGGCTGATAATTTACGTATGAATGAATGTAGCAAAATGGAGAGTTTTGAACTACTTTGTGATCACAAAGAAAAGTTTAGAGATGAAATAGAGTTTATTTGGCGGTTAGTTCGTGCTTACGGAGACATGTATGAGCTATCTACTAACACACAAGAAAAGAAACATTATGCTAATATCGGAAAGACGTTAGGGGAAAGAGCGATCACTACAGCACCCACGAATGGACATTGTCATCTGTGGTATGCGGTTTTGTGTGGCTATGTATCTGAGTTTGAGGGCTTACAAAACAAAATCAACTATGGACATCGCTTCAAGGAACATCTAGATAAAGCAATCCAATTTTTACCTGAAGAACCCTTTTTGTATTACCTCAAAGGAAGATACTGTTATACGGTCTCGAAACTGAGCTGGATTGAGAAAAAAATGGCTGCTACTCTGTTTGGAAAAATACCATCCTCAACTGTAGAAGAAGCTTTGCAAAATTTCCTTAAGGTTGAAGAACTACACCCTGGTTTTTCTAAGTCCAATTACTTGTTCTTGGCCAAGTGTTACATCGATCTTGAACAAACAGATGATGCTATGAAGTTTTGTAATTTGGCAGTGTTGCTTCCTTGTGTTACCAAAGAGGATAAAGATGCACAGAAAGAAGTGAAAAAAATAAGCACTTCCTTGAAGAGGTAAATAGAAGAACTTACTCTTCAGCAAATCAGATGTGGTCTACTAAACTTTAATCCAAGTTGTGTTTTTTTATTATCCTTTTTTCTTCTTTGAGGTAAGGGTAGTATGCTCAGATTTGAAGGTAAAACCACATTTCTGCAGAGTGCATTCCAATAGTAGCATGACAAAACTAATCATGTTGTTGGCAGAAATCAAGTTCCCATAATGTCAGTACAAAATTATCTTTAAACATGTATGATTTATATTTTTCCTATCAATTAGCTATAGTCTTCAGAGTATTTCTTTAAATAAAATATTTAAATCAATTCAAAAAAAAAAAAGAACCCTCTCAAACCTTGCCCGTGCGTTTCTTCATTTGGCTGTTCTTCCTAGTTTTCATCCTTTACAATAAACTGTAATTTTAAGTAGAGTGCTCTTCCTGAGTTCCATGAGTTATTGTAGCATATTATCAAACCTGAGAGTATCTTGGGAAGCACTGCATTTGTAGCCTAACACAGTACCTTGCATATAATACTTGCTCAATTAATAACTGCTGCCTGAAAGAAAGAATGGAATCAATAAATGAGTAAAGGCTGCTTGTAAGTGTTCTTTAAGAACTCTTTCCAATCATGAAAACTCCCTAATCTGCACCATCTGTCTCAAAACTTTTGACTTTGACTTATTAACCCCAACAGGGTACCCGACACATCACTGCCAAGCTCCTAAAGCCATCTCTCTTCAGTTATCAGCCCCAAATTACACTCTTTCTTCTTCTCCAGAGGGCGAGGCTATCCCTGACCTTGGACATGTCAACTGCTTTATTTTCACTCTTTCTTCCTTTTCCACGATGAATCAGGGTCCACTGCACAGTCTGTAACATAATATAAAATTTAAGTCTGCCACATATTATAGTGTAAAGGTCTACAGATAATAGTTCTGATTTAGCAGCAAGGGACAAATATGTAAAGATTTCACTGAAGTTTCTCCTAAGACCCTTAATGATGTCAATTTATAATCTCCATTTTTCTCAATCCTGGTTGCATACTGGAATTATACGGGGTGGCTTTTTATTTTTTTAACTGAGATATAATTGACATGTAACATCGGATTAGATTAGGGGCATAACATAATGGTTTGATGCATGTATGTATTGTGAAATGATCACCACCATAAGTTTAGTTAACATCCATCACCGCATATAATTACAATTTTTTTTCTTGTGATGAACACTTTTAAGATCTACTTTTTTAGTCACTGTCAGACACACAAAACAGTATTGTTAACTATAGTCACCTCATTGGTGCTTTTAAAACATACTGATACTCAGTTAAAGCAGAATCTCTGTCTGATGGGGCCCAAGCATGGGGCTATATTTAAAGGTCCCAAGAGATTATGATGTGCAGTCAGCTGTGACCCACTGGGGTAGCTGCAGCATCCATCCGAGTCATAGCTGGGTACATACATTGGCTTCCACCAAGAGCACATGTCCTATCTCCTAATTCCCTAATTGCTTAATCCTGGTAAATATGCAAATATATTATCTGAAAAAGGGACAGTAACTGTGCAGAAAGCCCTTGGGTTGCTGCCCTACTTCATAAAAATCCCCTTCTCTGAGGGCATCATTGATGCTCTGTATATTCTAACCCTGTGCTCCCGGCCATACATGAGAAATGGACACCTCAACCAAGTTATTCCAACAATCTCTCTTTAAAATTTGAAGTTTGGAACAAAGTTAGAGCTGATTGACAGTAAGCTAGTAATGCTGTTTGTAGCTTTTGATTTCATTGGTGTTAATACATTGTGGCCAATTTCAAGCTACTAATATACTATCATTTGGTTTGCAAAACTCCTGAAAATATAACAACTAGTTCTCCCAAGCCACTTTGAGCCAGCTCCAACACACCCATGGAGCTGAGTCATCTTAACATCAGCCCCTCAGATAAGATTCAAGGACACTTCCTGCTCTGTTCCCTGAACTTCCCAGGGCTAAGTGATGCAACTCTTAAATTCTCAGAGACGTTCCTGTCATTCATCTTCCTTCCAGTAAATACTTTTTTTACTTTGTGGCTTAAGCTATTCACAACCAGTTTTTCCTACAACCCTAAAATAATGGGGCCACTCTTCCGTATGTTACCATTTTAGTTTGGGTAAGTTTATCAGTTGTTTAGAGAGAAGTAGGTAACAGGGCAGAAGAGTTCCAGTGAAGGAAAGCTGAGTGAGCAACTACTGGTGGTGTGCGGGCTCCGTGTGCTTGTTGGGAGACAATGACAGAGAGGGTCACAGGGGGAGTAGGGGACAGGGGAGCGTTCAAAACAGACCTTATTTTCAGAATTCTCTGCCCAGCATGGCTTCTGACACTCTCTACCTCCTTCGGAAAGAATTTATCAAATGTCTTAAAAGGGCTATTGATCCAAACGCTATGGAAGCTAGGGTTGTTTATTTACAAGTACTCATCTTCTGTAGAAGAAGGCAAGATACTACAGCTTTGAGGAGTAGGGAAGAGAGGCAGAGAAAAGAGAGAGAACACATGGGGCAGGGGCACCTGCGGGGGCCCAGTCGGTTAAGCGTCCTACTCTTGTTTCCAGTTCAGGTTATGATCTCAGGGTTCTGAGCGTGAGCCCTGCGTCTGGCTCCGTACTCAGCACGGAGTCAGCTTGTCCCTCTGTTCCTCCCCCTGCTCACTCTCTCTTTCTTTATCTCTCTCTGTCTCTAAAATAAATAAATAAAATCTTTTTGAAAAATGGGGTAAAGACAATTATGTTCGTCTCTTCCCAAATACACAGGGGTGCTAAAGCATTCTATTCCTCAAAGTTTACAAACTTGTCTACAGAATGGCATATATATTGAATATGACAATCTATGTTACTAGGAAGAAAACGAAGCTCTAGTGCCAATAATGTATAATAGTTAAACTGGGAATAGAAAAATCAATAAAAATAAGGATGTCAGTGTAAAGCAACACTAATTATAGTCATTTATTCAAAATTCTCACCATTCAGGCTTCATTATGTCGCAAATTATTAATTACATGCACATCAGGAAATATATTACCTATAAACTTCGTTCTTTTATTTGACTAATTTATCCTTATAATACTTATAATACTTAACCTACATACTTTAGGCTGATGTGGCAGGTTTGTTTATTCAAATTTTTAAAAATTATCAGAACCTTTGCTCATATTCCGACATTCTCTGTGTGACCTTGGGGTATTCACTTGGTCCTTCCAGTCTTCCCTTTTCTCAAATGAAAATGACAATTAAATTAGATCATGCCTAAGATCCACTGTAGCTCTAATAGTCATGAATCTACGTATATTTGGACATGCACAATTTCATGTATGTGCAGAGAGTAAGAAATTATGTAAATACATGATTTAAAATCTGATTTCTTCATTTAGGGGGGAGGACAATTATTCTAATTTTCTGAATATTGAGAATGAAAGGAGTGGAGGTTCCCAATGGAGCTATTCTGTAAAAGATAAAATAAAATCTTCTGATTTTTTTTTTCTTTGAAGACCACATATTTTAAAATGTTCTTGGTAATAAAAGCCTACCAAACAATCAGGGCATAATTTAACTCCTGGAAGAATCCACTCTTGATACATATTAGATAATAAAACAGAAAGGTAATAGAACGGTCACAGACATGCTTATGGAGATGTTTATATCAGTGTTCTAACTCAGTCATAAAAACCAGAAAGCAAGGAAGATCTCCAGGAACTCCAAAGAGTTCCAAAGCTACCCAGTAATTATACTATGCTTTCCTGGTCCAGTGGTTTTTAAATGTGGGTGTTTGTCAATTGGGAAATGTGACACATACAAAGGCCTAGGATCTGTCCTACTTCAGTAGCCTGGCCCTCTGTATTGATTTATTTGGTTTTGACACATACCAAAGGTTGAGAACACTGCCCTGATCTATTTGCTCTTCCCCTCTCCTTGACCAGTGGTTCTCAAAGTTTTCTGCACATTAGAATGACCTGAGGGACTTTTAAAAATCCTGACACCTAGTCTTGGGGAAGGTGGCAGAGTAGGAGGGTCCTACACTTACCTCATCCCACAAATGCACCTAGATAACACTCACATCAGTGTATATAATCCAGAAAATGACCCAAAGACTGGCAGAACAGATTTTCCCAAATTAAATGTAGAGAAGAGGTCATATCAAAGAGGGTAGGAAGGGCAGAGACACAGTTGAGAGTCAAAGTGAGCCGCAAGACTGTCCACAGGAGGGAGGGATGCCAAGGGCTTAAAGAGGTGAGAGGACCAGACCCCACACCAGGCACATAAGGTACAGAGGACCCCACTGAGAAGAAGAATCCCCATTACAGCTGTCTTTGAAAACCAGAGGGTCCTAACTTTGCAAGTTCTTATAATCGGTGGGGCTTAACACGTGAAATTTTAAAAATCAGCAGGCTTGGATCTGGGAAGCTAAAGGGCAATAGGAACTGTCCTTAAAGAGTGAGCATAACAAAGAGCGCTGCTGAGATATAGCATAGAAGTAGCAGTTTGGAAAACACCTGGGGAAGGAGATTTATTTACTAACCTCAAAGTATATGCTGCAGAGGCATGGATCTTTGAGAGACTTCCCCAAGAACAAAAGAGCTGGCAAGGGCTATTTTCCTCTCCTGCCTGCCAGCCTACATACATGGAAACCAGCGCAGCATGAACACTTTCCACCTCCTGGTTGATAGAACTACCCTGCCCCTACATTCTCTTGCGGAAACACCCTCTCCACCCCAGCCTCGGCAGATGTTTTCCTGGGTAGCTGCAAGTCCCCATCTCACATCGAACCTGTGCAGACCTTGCTGGCAGTGTGCACCCAGCCAGCCACTGTGTTCTCCTGTGGACCTACCCCACTAACAACCATTAGAGGTTGGCAGGAATCCTTCCAAAGAAGTGCCACAAGCCTGGCACTGTGCAAGCAGCACCGACAAGGGCCAGCACCACTCCAAAGTGACTCCCTGAGGAGAGGGGAAAATAACCACACACACCAGTCAGACAGCGACCCCAGCAGTAGGCTGGGGGCTGACATCTGGTCTAACTGCAGGACCTGCCCACCAACAAAAGCTTCTCAGGGGACAACACAGACAAAGTGGTCGGCAGTTCGGTGCTACTGCAGTTTTGGCAAATGTCTGACTCAACTCAAGCCCTAGGCAGCCCCAGACTGGCCCACTAACAACACAGGGACCAAACAGTGCTCACAATAGGCAAAGAGAGCCATTGCAGACAACCAGACTGAAGGCAAATGCGACTTAGTCACAACAGTAGGGCACACGCAATACACATTGGAGACACCCCTGATGTGCCAGGTTCTGGTGAACAGG